GTTTCTTGTGTTGCTGGGACAAAATACCTGACACTGACAACTTGGAGGAGTGGTTTATTTGGCTCACAAATACAGAGGTTTAATCCATGGCCCTGTGACTGTAAGGCAGAAACATCGTGGGGGAAAGATGAGGTGGAACAAAGCTGTTTACTCCACGGTGGGCAGGAAGACTCCTCAGAGGCTTCCAGCTCCTAACAGCACAGCCAGCTGTGGGCATCAGTGTAGCACCCACTGTGAGCACTGAGCTCTGAGCACCCACTCATGAGAGTAGATCCCCCGCCCTCCAGTTGCCTCTCTAGGAATCTCGTAATCCAGTCCAGTTGACAATTGAGATTATTTGGCACAAGCCCTCAATAGTGTTCTCATTTGCATTGTTTGCAAGCTTAGCATTTGGAAATTGATAAAATTTGTATACATGGGGAAATTGTGGGAGGATATTTTTGGGTACAGTTGGCTGTCTCTGTCTATGGGTCTGCATTTGTGGATTTGACCAGCCACAGATCCAAAATATTTGACAAAAAAGAATTGTGTCTATACTGAACATATAGATTTTTTTTGTCATTATTTTTATTTTAAACAAATACAACGTGATAGTTACTTACTATCGCATAGGTATTATAGGTAGCATAGGTATTATAAGTAACCTAGAAGTGATTTAAATTATATGGGAGAATATGTGTAAGTTCTATGTAAAGACTAAGCCATTTTATTTTTATGTATTTTGCAGTATTGGGATTGAACCCAAGGCCTTTGCGTTGAGCTATATCCCCAGTCCATTTTAGGTTTTTTAAGATTTTGATTATTCGCTTGCTTGTTTTTGAGACAGGATCTTTTACGTATTCCAGTGTGGCCTTGAACTCACTATGTAGCCTAGGCTAACCTTGAATTTGAGTGATCCTCCTGCCTCAGCCTCCCGAGTGCTGGAATTATAGGTGTGCGCCACCGTACCTGGCATATTTTTTATTTTGAGATAGAGCCTCACTAAGTTGTTCAAGCTGAGTTGGCATCCTTTGGCCTTCGCCTCCCAGAATGCTAGAATTACAGGCATGTAGTACATGCCCATCTGTTTCACCATCTTCTGTAAGTGACTTGAGCATCCATGTATTTTGATATGGGATGGGGGATCCTGGAGCCAGTGTCCCTCAAATCCTGGGAGATGACTGTATTTCCATATACCTGTGTGAACTAGGTCGTCTGTCCAACATAGTTTTCTAGTCCCTCTCCTCCCTTCTCAGTCACTTCACAGAGCTTTCTGAAACTTGTATTCCTAACTACCTAGTCTCTTCCCTAACTACTCGCCTATAGCTCTTTTTTTCTCATTTGTGGTGCTGGGGGTGGAACCTAGCACCTGGCACATGCTAGGCGTGCTCTCTACCACTAAACTACATCCCCAGCCCTAGCCTCTGGCTCTTGATCTCTTCACCACCCCTCTGTGCCTCTCCGGGAGGGACTTGGCTTTCTCTGTGCCCTCCATCTCTTAGGTTAGGGACAAGGGTATCCTTATTCTCAAATGCTAGAGTCTCATTTTTGCAAAATCTTCCTTTGAGACTATGCTCTCTGATTTCCCTCACTCTCACTCACCAACTCACGGCTTTCCTATGTTCCTAAGTCCTCCACCATCTTTGTGGCTTCAAGTATGAGGCCAGAAGTCAGGATCTCATCCTTTAATCTTCCTTCTCCAAACCTCACACATCCAATTAATTACCAAATCTCATTAAATCTACCTAATCTTTCTAATCTACCTACTGTTCCCCACACCACTGCCTCTACTTTAAATCAGGGTATTATTATTTTGGGCCTTGTGTTCCTGAAATGGTCTCTTGTCTCCCTTTGTTCACAAAAACATGTACTGATTGCTGATTACACACTAGGTGTTGGGACGACTCCCACCACCTCAGAGAGGGACACTGCGGTGGGAGCAGTGCAGGGGACTTACGGCTTAGGGGAGGCTGCCCAGAGGAAGAAGCATCCCAGAGCCCTGGAAAATGGTGGGGATTCAATCTGAGGAGTTACTGGGGAGGTGAAGGAACAATACTCCAACTTGGAGATGATTACACATGAAAGCTGCAGGTTGAGAGTATGCTGAGTTGGTATCCTCTGGGACCTTGAGAGTCAATGGCGGGACGCCATTGGTGGGAGTAAGTAGGTAGAGGTGGATCTTGAATGGTGGTTGGGGGTGGACACCTTTGTAAGGAGGGGCCACATGGAGTCCCTGAAATGTTTTCAAAAGGAGAGTAACTTTGCACAGAATTCAAACTTAATAAGATCTTGGGGCCTCACTGTGACTGCAAGTATGGAGAATGGATGGGCCTGTTGGAGTGTGGGGTACGGGGAGACGTGGAGAACATGTCAAGTGCTGCAGAAATGCCAGCAAGAAGGCAGTGGCTTATACTGGGTTCTTAAGAGAGGGAAAGGGGAGAGGATAGATTGAGGGAAACCTAGAGGAGGAGCTGGCAGCTTTGATGAGTTGGGCCGGGAAACTGGTAAAGGAGTGGCCATGGTCAAGGCTGGTGTGTGCATTCCAGACTTGAAAACGGGGTGTGAGGGCCAGCAGGTGTGAAGGGGGAAGATGCCGGGCCTTTAGGGACAAATGGAGTTTGAAGTCCCTTTGAGATGCCTCAGTGGAGCTGTCTGCCAGGCACTTGGCCATATGGATTTAGAGCGGTGGAGTGAAAATTGAAGCCGTTGCTGGGTGACAGCTCTGTGAGGGTAACCTCTGATGAAGGATTGGCTTGTAGTCCTATTTAGAGAGTTTCTACAAATCAGTAAGAAAAACAACAACCTGGTTTTAAAAAAAGTGGGCAAAAATTATGAAAAGTTTACCTAAATGGCTGGTAAATATATAGAGAGATGCCTAACCTTACTTTATAGTAATGATGGAAACGCACATTTATGCTGTAAGAAAATACAGTTGTCTGGCCTTCAGACAGAAAAATTAAAGTCTAACAAGGCCAAGAGGACAAAGAGCACCAGATCAACCCCCAGCCTTTCCCTCCCTGTCTTCCTTCCATTCTTTTTGGTGGTACCAGGGATTGAACCCAGGGGTGTTTCACCACTAAGCTATGTCCCCACCCCACTTTTTTTTTTTGTTCTTGTTTTGTTACTGAAGATTGAAGGTTGAACCTGGGGCCTTCACACTGAATTATATCCCCAGGCCATTTTTTATTTTATTTATTTATTTTTCATTTTTTATTTTGAGACAGGGACTCGTTATATTGTGAAACTTTTTTTTTGGTACTGGGAATTGAACTTATGACCTTAGGCTTGCCAGGCAAGCACTTATGCCATTGAGCTATACCCTGGCGGGACTCGTTATATTGCTTAGGCTGGGCTTGAATTTGGTATGGTCCTGCATCAGTCTCCCAGAGTGCGAGGATTACAGGCTGTGCCAATATACCCTGCTCCTATCCCTGTACTTTTTTTTTTTTTTTTGGGGACAGAATCTTCCTAAATTACTCAAACTGGCCTTGAATTTGCCATCCTGCCTCAGCCTCCCAAGTAGCTAGGATAGCAGGTGTATCCTACCACACCTGGCTACCAGGCACTCTTACACACTGAGGTGAGGAGAACATATTAAGATTAGCACTTTGGGGGCTGGGGATTTAGCTCAGCGGCAAAGCGCCTGCCTGGCAAGCGCAAGGTCGTGAGTTCGGTTCCTGGTACCGGAAAAAAACAAAAAAAAAAAAAAAAAGGTTAGCACTTTGGAATCAAATTTGACATCTCAAAATTGGTGATGTGAATAACAGAGACCAGTGATTTTATTCTTCACCAGATGCTGTGAAGAAGCCCTTCTCCGTGTTTAGAATGTCTAAGGACATCAGCCAAAAGATAGAACCATCAGGGACTGTCTGCAGGAGAGGGTGAATCAGTGTGGTACATTGTAGAGCAGAGCACTGTGCAGCAATGCAATTTTTTTAACATTTACTATTTTAATCAGAGCAAAGTGTCACTGTGGCTAAATCGCACCCAAGTCACAGAGGCATACAGGCAGTGTAATACCGTAATAAACTTAAAAGTCATGCAATACAGTACTAGATACTGGGCTCCCCACCTCCCATATGACTGTATTGACTAAAGAAATGTGTGAGCTGTGTATGGTAGTGCATGTCAGTAATCCCAGCATTGGGAGGCTGAGGCAAGAGGATTGCTGCAAGTTCAAGGGCCAATCGGGGCTACCTAGTTCAAAGGAAGCCTGAAGTGCATAGAAAAACCCCATCTCAGGAAAAGGAAAAAGAAAGAAATGTGTGCGACTGGTAAATTAGGACAGTGTTACCTCTCAGGGAAGATTTCCACTAGGAAAGGGATTTTAACCTTTTTTTTCCTTCAGCTAAAGGAGGTCGCTTTTTGTTTGTTTGTTTGTTTGTTTGTTTTGGTTGTACTGGAGATTGAACCCAGTGCACTGAGCTACATATCTAGCTTTTTTTTCTTTTGTTTTTTTTTACTGTCTAAGACAGTCTCACTAAGTTGTTTAGTTGCCCTGGTTGTGTTTGAACTTGTGATCCTCCTGCCTAACCCTCCCTGAGTACTGGGATTACTGGCATGTACCACTGTGCTCAGCAGTTTTAGTTTTTAGTTTTTTGGTTTTTTTTTTTAAATCTTTGCATGTTTGAACTATTTGTTTTTGCAGTACTGGAGGTCAAACTCAGGGCCTTATGCATGCGAGGCAGGTACTCTACCACTGAGCTATACCCCCAACCCTAATCTTTAAAGGCTAAAGTGGGACCTCATAGGTGCTCAGTAAATATTTCTATTATTGTTTTTGTCTTTGGGTTTGGTTATTAGTTTCTGTCTCTGCTTTTAAAAAGTTGAATCTATGTTGCTGTTAGTGACCTAAATCTTGAGGCTGAGTTGAACGTTGAAGATTTGCTTCTTTATACTCATCTGCTTTCTCCTGTCTGGTTAGTGCTAACACATGATCTTCTCATCTGTAAAATGCTAGGGGCGTGGGCCACTGACTCCCCCCCTGCTGGTGACCCTGTCATTCCTGCATCTCTGCCTAGGTCCCTGTCCTTCGAATGGTGGAGGGTGATACCATCTACGATTACTGCTGGTATTCTCTGATGTCCTCATCCCAGCCAGATACCTCCTAGTAAGTGATGTCCTTTGCCTCCCCCTTACTCCCCTACAAGATTTAAGGGAATCCTCCCCTGAGTGTCAGGGCTGCCAGGGATATCTGAAGGTTTGTGTGTCCCTCAGATTGGAGCTGAGAGGGCCGGTCAGTTGGCTTCCTCCCCTTCCTTTGACAGTGCCTGGGCCTCAGTGTCCATGTCTCTCTCAGCGTGGCCAGCAGCAGCCGGGAGAACCCGATTCACATCTGGGATGCATTCACTGGAGAGCTCCGAGCTTCCTTCCGTGCCTACAATCACCTGGTACAAACCTCCTTGCCCACCCTGGCTCTTCTCCTGGCCCAGCTCTCTTTCTTTGAAGATGGCCAAGGCTTTGCAAGGAGCTGTTTTTAGCCCTTTCCTGCCCCCAGGACGAGCTGACGGCCGCCCATTCACTCTGCTTCTCCCCGGATGGCTCCCAGCTCTTCTGCGGCTTCAACCGGACCGTGCGTGTCTTTTCCACATCCCGGCCTGGCCGAGACTGTGAGGTGCGAGCCACCTTTGGTAAGCATCTGCGCCTCCAAGGGAGGAGGAGAGGCACGGATAGGGGCCTTGTGTGAGCCAGTGGGGGCTACCTGTGGGGTTTTGCTTTGCTCTCCGTGTAGCCTGGGAGGCAGGTCATACCCAATTGCAGAGGAGAAAGCCAACAGAGTTAGAGAAAGCTTTCCCAAGATCAACCTTAGCTCGTTAAAGAATTAGTTTGCATCTGAACCCATGTCTTGTAAACTATACATTTTGGTCTCTAAAAATCTTCTAATCTCAGGCTTGGCATGGTGGTGCACATTGTAATCCTAGCACTGGGGAGGCTGAGGCAGGAGGATCACTGCAAGTTTGAGGCCAGCCTGGGCTATACACATAGTGAGTTCAAGACCAGCCTGAACTACATACATGGCAAGACCCTGTCAAAAATAATAATTTTTTTGTGGTGCTGGGAATGGAACTTAGGGCCTTACAAGTGCCAGGCCAGTTTTCTCCCACGGAGTTTCCCTGCTCCCCTAGAAAATTTGAGGTGAATAGATTCCACTGAATCTATTTCCTGTAGACTTTGCTCTTTCCCTTCTAGGAAAAGCGGGGATTGGAGAGGGAAGATAGAAGCCTTGGGCATTTAGAGCCTCTGAGGGGATAGAAGGACCTAGGAAACATCAGAGGTCTTTGTGCTGCTGGTGACAAAACAGGGCGGGGGAGATGTTGAATCCCAGCACATTGGTGCTGGGGCCAGGGACTGCGGTGTACCTCTGCTTCTAACGACAGGTGCTGTTGCCCTCTCCTCCACTTTGTTCCTTTCTTCCTTCTCTAGCAAAAAAGCAGGGCCAGAGCGGCATCATCTCCTGCATAGCCTTCAGCCCTACCCAGCCCCTCTATGCCTGTGGCTCCTACGGTCGCTCTCTGGGCCTGTATGCCTGGGAGGATGGCTCCCCTCTTGCCTTGCTGGGTGGGCATCGAGGGGGCATTACCCACCTGTGCTTCCATCCTGATGGCAACCGCTTCTTCTCAGGAGCCCGCAAGGTAGGGGTCGCATGCTAAGAGCCCAAAGCAGTAGGTGGGCAGTGGTGCAGGAGTGGGGATGTAGTCTGTAGTGTGTTGGGCAGTGCCAAGCTTTAGGCAGGTAGGGACATGGGGGAGGCGGGTGAGATAGGCAGTCTAGGCCCCTGTTCTGTGTCTTTAGGATGCTGAACTTCTGTGCTGGGATCTCCGGCAGCCTGGCCACCCACTATGGTCCCTGAGTCGGGAGGTAACCACTAACCAGCGCATCTACTTCGATTTGGACCCGTGAGTGAGCACGGCCCCTTCCTGCCTAAGCCTTGATGCCCCGGGAATGCCAGAGCCGGACTGTACAGTACCATTCCTGGGTGTGAGAGTTTCCTGCCCCAGGGATAATGCTCGCCTGCCGACAAGTCTCTCTCTCCCAGGAGCGGGCAGTTCCTAGCGAGTGGTAGCACCACCGGGGCGGTCTCTGTGTGGGACATCAGTGGGGCTGGTGACGATGACGGGAAGCCAGAGCCTGTGCTGAGTTTTCTGCCGCAGAAGGACTGCACCAATGGAGTGAGGTCTGCAGTTGTCTTCCATGGGGCTAGGGAGAGGGAGGTGATCCCTGCGGGAGCCAGCATCCCGGCTCCACAGTCCCTTGGTGTCTTCCACCAGCCTGCATCCTAGTCTGCCTCTGTTGGCCACTGCCTCTGGTCAGCGTGTGTTTCCAGAGCCCACCGAAAGCGGGGACGAAGGGGAGCAGGTGCCGGACCTTCCACTGCTCTCCCTGCGCCATGTCCACCTCGAGTGTCGGCTCCAGCTCTGGTGGTGTATGGGGGATCCAGACCCCAGTAACCCTGATGACCACCAGGGTGAGACCAGACAAGGAAAGACAGAGGGAGGTGGGGTTGAACTTACATAAAAAGGTTTTATATGATACTAGAGTCTTTGTGTCTGTTTGGGGAGGCAAATGCTAAATGACAGAGGTATGAGCTGGGTACCAGCACTAGTGGGTTCCCTTGTCCTGCCGCAGGGTGACTGGCATATTGTTCCTGAAACCAGGGGTTGAGAGGTGGGACTAGGCAGGAGCCAATAGAATACTGAGCTGGTGTGAAGTCAAGTGGGTGGGGGCGGGGCTTCATGCCATTGACTGGGTGGTTGCTAGGCAACGTGGTAAACTGAAGGGGGGAACCTGTTTGAAATCTCACTCCCAAGGTGGGGGCAGCAGGGGTCAGGGTGAGCAGGGCTGAGCAGGAGTGGCAGGAGCTCGGTGTCAGACTGTTGGGTGTGACTATGCGAGACTGCAGACAGTGACAGACGACACCCGCTCCCTCGCACTCTACACTGTTTACCATCATCCAGCAGCAGGGGGACCATTACTCAGCTCTGGGGAAGGCGAAGGGGTGCGGGAGCATCCGCCTCCCCCGCCCCCGGACTCCTCCAGGAGGCAGGCAACCCAGTACCAGAGTCAAGGACACACAGGAAGGAGTAAAGGTGCCAGAAAAATACATCACCTTTGTTACCTCCCGTCTTCCCCTGAGATGCGGGACCAGGGCGAGGGGCTTACTTATTCAGCAGCTGGCAGCGGTCTCCTTGTTTTCCCATCTGCTTCTCCCCTCCCCGCGCACACCTTGCCACGCATTGAGAAGGGGGGCTTTGAAGGGAAACTGTCAGCAGGGGATGCAATTGGGGACCTCACAATCAAAGGGAAGCGAGAGGCTGTGGAGGCCTGAGCTGGAGGAGAGGAATGTCGCCCCTGCCAGGAGGTGCTGAAAGCCAGGGTTCTTACACCCAAAAAGGCAACTCCTCCCTTCCCCCAGGATAATTGGAAACAGCCCTTCCTGAGGAGTGTGGGCTTGGAATTGTAGGTACCCCGTTCCTCAGCCCCACTCCCCGCGACCACCTAAGGGCCCAAGTTTGCTAATTTCCTGCCTTTCGCCTAACCCTCCTACACCAGTAAAGTCCAGAGAGCAGTGAGGAAGGATGCCCTAGGAATAAGAGTTGAGCACTCCTGGTTTGGCTTGTGAGTTTATTCCAGATTTCTCGTGTGACCTTGGGCAAGTCACTGGGTCCCTCCAACCTCGGTTTCTTCAGCTACAGTGGGAGCAGTAGCTCTGCTCTTCCCACCTCACACAGGTAGTTGTGCGGATCAACTCAGCCGCACTTGGGGAAGTACCTAGCCTTCAAGGTTATCATTCTGCCCAGCCGCCCGCCCGCCCGGAGCAGCCGGAGCCCTGATGGTGTTTTGGGATGGAAGAAGAGGCTGCGGGAGCGATCGGGTGGGTTCCTTGGGGTGGAGAGAGCGAGAGCCTTTCTGGATTTTAGAGAGGAAGATTCCAACCGATCGGGAGGTCGGAGGGCAGGAGGGGAGACAGGCAAAAAGCCAGCAAGAGACGGACAGTCGAGCGACAAAAGGGGCGTGAAAGACCACGGCAGGCAGCGAGGCAGGGCGGCGGGCTAGGCGGCCGCGGTGGGCGGGAGGTGTGCGAGGTGAGGGAGGTGTGGGGGGCGTGGGCCGCGGGATGCTGCCGCCCGCTCCGACTGAGCTCCAGCTCCGGTTTTTCCCTCCACCATCCTCTCCCCCTCCCCGCCTCTCCTTTAACTCCCCCCTCCTGGGCTCGGGACTGGTTTCCTCCCTTAGCCCGCTGCCCTCAATCCCGGCGAGGCTGGGGCTCCGGCTCGGCGTCCCCTTCCTCAGTCCCTCTCCCGGCACCCCATGCTGCCTCCGCCTGGACCCTGGCTCCCCCAGCCCCCTACTTAGGCCGGCGCACAAATCTCGGGGTGCTGGCGCGTGGGCCGGGGCCGTGGAGGGTGCCTGCAGACGGCCCCTGCCAGGGCTGTTGTAGGGCTGAGCGCTCTGGAGCGGGGGCGCTGGGACAGCGGGAAGCGGGTCCGCGTGGGAGCCGGGGGCACCAGCCACCCACCGGGTGAGCGGGGCTGAACAGCCGGCCAGCCGAGGCAGTCCCCCCACCCCCGGGGGTGAGCGACTTTGGGGGAGTTGGTGCCCCGCCCCCCAGGCCTTGGCGGGGTCATGGGGGCCCCCCATTCTGGGCTGGGGGGTATGCAAGTTGGGGCCCTGCTGCTTCTGGCGTTTTGGGGGCTGGTGTCGGGGCTCAGCCTGGAGCCTGTCTACTGGAACTCCGCGAATAAGAGGTGAGCAGACTGGGGCTGGGGAGACCCCAGGACCTAAGGGCAGGGCAAGGGGGTGTGGGAGCTTTGGGGACTTGGGCCTCTGTTCTGTGAGCAGGAGCGAGGCTGGAGGAAGGTGCCAGAGCCCTGGTGTGGCAGGCTGGGTTACAGAGGCAGTTATCTTGGGAGCCCACACAGAGCTGGAGGTGGGTGGTGATGTCCATGTGTCAGGAGTCTGGAGACCCCAAAGGGGCAAAGATAAAAAGTTTATGGGCAGCAGGAGGGCAGTGGAGCGGTTATTTGGATCTGTGGGAAACCTGCCTGTGGGGGGGGGGCAGGAGTGGAGGGAGCCTGGTTAATGTCAGCTCTCAGGAGAGAGCCCTTGAGTAGGTGCTGCTGAGGCGCTGAGGGGAAGGCAGGGGTGCCTCCCTCCCACAGGGGACTCGCATTGGAGATGGGAGGGAAAGGGGCTCAGTTTGGGGGCTCTGGGAACAATTTCCCCAAGGCTCCTTGAGTCTCTCAACTCTTGCCCACAGCAAGAAGGTGGGTGAGCCCTTGGCCGAACAATTTTCAGCCGGAACACACGCCTGCCGTCCTGGCCTGGGGCTTCTAAAGAAACTGGGAGGCCCTCCAGCCTCTTTCCTTCCCGCTGGTCTCTGGAGTCCTGAGGACCCCATGGCCCCCTCCCCCTGTCTTTGCTGCAAACTCTTCCATCAGGGCCTCTGTTCTGTGGCATGCTTGCTTTGCTCTGAAAAGAGGCCAAGGGTCACATGAAACTTCAAGCCATACAGGGTAGAACAGAACCTTTGGGAGGTCCTCTGGGTCCCTTTGCCTCCATGCAGTTCTCATTCCTTTTAGCAAAAGAGTTCCGTGCTTTAAAAACTTCCTACTTCCCTGGGGAGGCGGTGGGAGGTCAGGGGAGGTGGGGTGGGGACTGCGGAGCTCATCAAGTCATTGGTCTTAATCCTAGCTCTGCCTCTTTCAGCAGTGTGGCCTTGGGCATGTCACTTAACCTTTCTGAGTTTATATCCTCAATCCTTACAGCTGTTATGAGGATTAGAGGTAAGGTGTTTGAACATATTATATGTTCGTGAAAGCAGAGCTAGGATTATTGTTCTCTTTACTTCCCAGACTCCCTCTCACCTCCCTGTTCTGGCATCCTTTCCTCCCTCCCTCCCATATCTCTTTGGGGGATAATCTCAATGTTTTTTCTGTACTCAGGCTGGCTGCAATTGGAGTATCAGGTGTAGCGTGAGGACATAAATTAAGACTTACCCTGATAGGGTCAAGAAGAGGCAGTTTGGTGTTGTGAGGGGTCTTCTGGATGTTAGGGAGAGGGAGTGGGTCACTTGGTAGTCTAGGAAGATAATGGGCAGCAGTCCTCTGGGACTTAACCTGAGACCTTGTCTCCAGGGAGGGGCTGCTGTGGTTGGCAAGTTATGGCAGTGCGGGACCCAAGGGTTCCCCAGCCTCCCTCCTGCTTTCAGGAGATGCTGGGTTGTGTTGGTTGTGGTTAGGAAAATCAACTACTTCAACTCCAAAGCAATAGAGCACTTTACCCGGGAAGTCTGAGTCCCAGGGTGACTGAGTAGAGGAATGACCTGAGCAAGCTGGTCTCCACACCTTGGTTCCCTTAGGGCCATTGCTAAGCTAGGCCTTTGCCTCCTGTCCCATTAATGGCTAACTTGGGACACACTGGTTGGGATCACCTTTTACATCCTTTTCCTCACCCTCCACCTCACCCCCTTTGCCCGAAATCCCTGAAATTCAGTGGTGGTGTGGAGGAAGGGAGGCTCTGCCCCCATGGTTGACTGCCATGGAATAGTGAAATCACCTGGGAGGGGTGGGCTGTGTGGTTCCAGAGAGGCCAGCTCCTTGGTAACTGGCATCCTGTTGCCATGGCAACGGCATCGGTGATGGAGCGGGAGATGGCAGTGTGCATGTGGTGAGGGCGGGCTGGAGTGCATTTGGGCACACCAAGGGGCAGGAGACCTCTGAGCCTGGCTTCCTGCTGCTTCTGATGTGAGCTCTCAGAGTCCTTGGTGCCCAAGCTCACAGAACAGACTTTCCACTCAGACAAAGGCAGGCAAGTAGGAGCCTGAGAGCTGCCGTCCTGGAGGTGAGGAAGGGAAAGCTCTGGGGGCCACACCCCTGATATTTCTTCCTTGTCCATCTGCCCTTTCCCCACAGGTTCCAGGCAGAGGGTGGTTATGTGCTGTACCCTCAGATTGGGGACCGGCTAGACCTGCTTTGCCCCCGGGCCCGGCCTCCTGGTCCCCACTCCTCTCCTAATTATGAGTTCTATAAGCTGTACCTGGTAGAGGGTGCCCAGGGCCGGCGCTGCGAGGCACCCCCTGCTCCAAATCTCCTTCTCACTTGTGACCGGCCAGACCTGGATCTTCGCTTCACCATCAAGTTCCAGGAGTATAGCCCTAACCTCTGGGGCCATGAGTTCCGTTCACACCGTGATTACTACATCATTGGTACTGCTGGGCAGTGGGCAGGGTCAAGTGAGAAGTGGTCCTTGGGAAGGGGGTGGGTGGATGAGGAGGCTGCTCATTGGAATCAGTGGTGTTCCTTCAGGACATGGGGTCAGAACAGGGGCGAGACCCAGGAGTGCCAACCTCTTGCTCTGATCTTCTCTCTCAGCCACATCTGATGGAACCCGGGAAGGCCTGGAGAGTTTGCAGGGTGGTGTGTGCCTGACCAGAGGCATGAAGGTGCTTCTCCGAGTGGGACAGAGTGAGTGGGGCTGGGGGTACCTGCTGGAGGTAGAGAGAGGTTCAGTCAGTACTTGGAGAAGTGGTCAG